ACACACTTCTGTCGCGCTCGAACAAGTTCCAAGCGCTCTTTAGAAGACAGATCTCTTGGTACTCGCCAACGGCGTAGCTCCTGCCGCTTAATTTTTTTAGGATTATCATGTCCTCCCAGGCGCCACAAAAATCGTGTGTGCGTGTGACTAGCAGGCGTAACGAAATGTGGTTTGACATATTCGTGTTTATGCTACGATCACCTCCTCACTATAACCCTTTCCTCCCTTGTTTAACTCAATTTATTCCAGCAGGAACGTCAGAGTCTGAAGAGCAGGCGCAAAAACGGCTCATACGCTTGCCACTTCCGCAACATACCCTTGAAACACTTGTATGCGCCTTTGTTTCCTCTCCTTTTCTTCCATCTTCCGTGTTCGATCACTGCGCAACGGGAAGCTAGCATCGGTTTTGGTGATAGGAGGCTTGAGTAGCGTATCTTCCGGGACTGGAATGGCAGCACGCGAGATTAACACAACGGGTGCTTCCTGTGCCGGATCGTCTTCCACGCGCATTGCCTGCTCCACCCCAACCTCCAGTCCGTCCTCGCACTCGACGCATCACTCCTATCGGCCTCGCGACGGTCTCTACACCGCCCCCCCATCCTCCTTCAAACTACAGCAAGTGGTGATCATCGCCCGGCACGGAGACAGGGCCCCGATAGCGCGCAACGTCGGGCAGGCAGTGCAGGATAGTCCGGAGACCCAGGCTCTCTGGCTCTCCAAATTGCCGTCTTCGCAGGAGGTAGAGGCGTGGACCTCCGCCTTTCCCCTCGCGGACCCCAGCCTCCGGCCCGTCGACTACGACGAGCATCCTTACGCGCAGCTCACCCGCAAAGGCGCGCAGGAGCTCCAGGCCCTGGGGAGGCACCTGCGAAAACGCTACGTGACGGACTTGAAGTGGCTCCCGGCCAGCTTGCACGCCTCGGGAGGGCATGCTCCACACGCATCAGGCGGCCTTTCCTCCGCCCCTTCCTCCTCCTCCCCCCCCTCCCTCCTCCCCCCCCTCGTTCTTGCACGCGCGCGCCACCAACATCCGCCGCACTCAGCAATCCGCGCAAAACCTCCTGCTCGGCCTCTACCCTGACGGCGCCCCTCACCCCTCCCCTTCCTCCTCAGCCCCCCCCCCTCGCCATCCAGGTCAGGCCGACCGCCTCGGAGACTCTGTACCCCAACGCTGACCGCTCCTGTTGCCGCCAGGGGGAAATCATCGCCGAGCTCGCGTCCCGGCACTTCGACATGCCCCGCGCGCACGTGGAAGACATGACGCGGGAGGCCTTCGCCCGGCTGGGCCTGGTGCCCCATCCTGAGCCCGCCTCGGCTAAGGTCGATCCCGCCGTCCCCCCCCCCCGCCCCCCCACTCCCGCGTGCCCTGGAACCAAGTGCGCGAGGTGTGGACCTGCCACGCCGTCCACGACCTACCCCTACCCCCTCCGGTGAACGGGGTGGGTGGGGGAAAGGCCGCGGGTTGGTTCGATCGCGTGGCCTCTTTCACCTCTCGTCTGTGGGGAGCGCTCTTCCGGGAGGAGGAGATGCTCCGCCTCGGGATGGGTCGCTTCGTGGAGGAGCTGCTGGAGCGGCTGGAGGGGAAGGCGCGGGGGGGGGAGGGGGCGGGGGAGAAGCTAGTGGTGTACGCAGGGCACGATTCGACCGTGGTGCCCCTCCTAGTCGCCTTGGGCCTGTGGGAAGACGTGTGGCCTCCCTATGCCGCGAACCTGGTGCTGGAGCTGGCGGAGCGGGAGGGGCCGGGGGCCGGGGAGGAGGGGGAGAGGCACTTTGTCAGGGTGCTGTACAATGACGAGGAGCGGATGTTGTGGGCCAAGGAGGGGGACGCGGACGTGGGGGGTCGGTGGTATTCGCTTCGGGAAATTTCGGGCAGACTGCGGAAATTGGTGCCTAAGGACTTCGAGGAGGAATGCCGGTGCCGACACGAGGAGATGTCCGAGGGAGGAGGGGTGGAGCACATTGGCTCAGCCATCAAGTGAGGGGTGGAGCACATTGGCTCAGCGATCAAGTGAGGGGGGGAGGGAAGGGGGAGGCAGGAAGGGAGGGGTTGAGGTCCGGCTCGGAGGGCGGGGACGGCGGTGGCGTGAAACGCCAGAAGACGCCCTCCAGTGATCCGACGCAACGTGTCTTTCAAAATTTGAAAGAATTATAACCTACGGCAATGCCTGGTTAGACCAAGGCGACGCATAAAACAGTGGGGCTATTTATTATGCTTTTTCGCCTCTCAACTTTCTCCTCACGCGAGCTCCCTCCGTCCCCCTTCCCCCCCTACCACGGCGTGGGCCCCCCCGCTCCCGGGGAAGTTCGGGTTCCTTCGAAGGATTTCCTGCACCTCCTCCTCGTTCTCCTCGTCCGTCTTGAAGAAGGTGTAGCTGAGCGTGATCTCGTGCACGTTGTCCATGGATGGGTCGTTCAGCATCTCCGGGTCCACAAAGAAGAAGACGGGCATGTCCACCTCCTCGCGGGGCTTTAGCCGCTGCTCGTCGAAACAGAAACATTGAATTTTGTTGAAGTACAAGCCTGCCTTGGGCGGGAAGACGTTGTAGGTGGCGACGCCGATCACAGCCTTGTCCGTTTTGTTCTTGACGGTGAAGAAGGCCAGAGCCGTCTCGCCGGGGACCACCAGGATGTCCGGTTGCGTGGGGTAGAACTTCCAGGGCGTCGTGTCGGAAACGTCGGCGTTAAAGACGATCTTGATGGGGCGAGACTTCTCTGCGGGCGCGGTGCCCACCACGGACTCGAGGGAATCCGCGCGCTTGGTCGTCCCTCCAAATCCTGTAGTCTGACAAAACACTTTGTAGAGCGGGACAGAGGCGTAGCTGACGCCCGTGACGGCAATCACGATGGAGATGGCGTAAAGTCCCAAACGCTTGTTCTTCTCTGAAAGCTCACGGGCTTGAGCGGCTCGGGCAGACTCTATATATTTGGGAATACATGCGCGCAAAAATGCAAGGGTTGCAGGGACAAATTAGAGAGTGTGAGAGCTCGGAACCATTCGATTGGGTAGCCGAACGCACTAAGCACTAAGACTCAATTTTGGATTGATCTCATGGTTGTGTCAAGCCAGATATGACCGACAGGGTAATACTAGCAAGTAGGTGCGGCGACGCATTCAGGCACCGCCATCGTCGACACAGACCGTCACAAAAAAAAGTTACGACTGCTACTTAGGACTCCCAGTCCCTTACAAAAGAGGGAACGCATAGAATACTGTCAGATTCATCCCCGCGCATACGTACTTTGACTAAAAGATCGCCGGCATGGCTGCCAAGCACGACTGAAGTGCACGGACAAGCGGGACAGGGGAAGGGCAGAAGGTAGAGGGCGTCGACGAACGCACGTAGAGATGTGGCTGCTGCTGAACGCGCTCCAGCTTCTTGACCTTAAATTGAAGAAATGACCAGCCAGACCATACTTGGTACGTGAACCCACGATTAGCCGGTGTGGGATCATAATCTGTGTGCAAGGCCGGAAAGAGAGGCTTCAGCTATGAGCGTTTGTATGCACGGAAAAGAAAGCCACAGAAACCCAAAGGCTGAGTTTGCACGTGAGTATTATCGCACCGTTGGTATACTAGTAGTCATACGCCGTGAACATTGTTATTGCGGACAAGGCCGTTACTAAAGATGTTTTGACAGTCCCCTATTCATCACCAGACCCGATGACGTGTTGTTCCTTAGAGGCTCCTGCCTCTACGGCATTTGGGTGGGACACAGGGTGCTTTTCCCTTTTTTCGTTTGTCCTAGCTTGCCTGGGCGGCATTTTCTCTGTATAGAATCCTTCTCTCCTTTCATTTTACGCGTGCTGGTGTCTTTTTGCGCGTCATCTTTCGCGCTTGTTCTCCCCGTTGACCTTCCACCGACAGTTGGTAACCTCTTCCTCGCGACTCCTCCCTCTCTATCAACGAACCTCATTTTGGGGGGGGAGCAGGCCAAGGGATCAGTATCATATTCTTTTCGATTATAAAGATGCGAAGAGGCTATGGAGTAAAGTCAATCAAGCGGAAAGAGCAGGTGAAAGAAGCGTTTACTAGCCTAGGAAAAGAGTTGCAAGAAGAAAATATAAATCACGTCACTGGGCTTATGGCGACTTTCAAAGAGTCCTTGGAGGACTTTGCACGGAAACATAAGAAAGATATAAACGCCAATCCTGTTCTTCGGGCCGAGGTACGCATGAAATAAGATGGGGTTGGGTATGAATACCTCCAAAGCAAAGTTTTGAATTAAGAGGACGAGTCCTCATCTACTGAGTCTTACTTCATGCCCGTTCAGTTCAACAAAATGTGCGCGGGTATAGGTGTAGATCCACTTGCATCAAACAAGGGCTTTTGGGCCCAGCTTCTGGGCGTTGGTGACTTCTACTACGAGCTAGCCGTACAAATCATCGAGATATGTTTGTTTACCCGCAGTCTGAACGGAGGCCTGATATGCCTCTCGGATTTGACTCAACGCGTACAGAAGCGGCGAAAGGTTGACAAGATCAGCACGGAAGATATAAAGATCGCCATCAACAAAGTGCACCTGTTGGGGGCGGGCTTCTCGTTGCTTCAGTCGGGCAAGACGACGCTCGTAGTCTCGGTGCCCACAGAGCTTTCTTCGGATCACGCTGCCATCCTCCAAATGGCGCAAGCGTCAGATTCGCACGTGACGGTGGGGGAACTTGTCCAGAAGCTGCAATGGGTTGAAAAGCGGGTGCGGTTGGCGTTGGACCTGATGATGCAAGCGGGCATGGCTTGGTTGGATGCGCAGGGGGCGGACGGCTCGAGAGAGGTTTACTGGTTCCCGTCCCTGTGGGAGGAAGGCTTGTGCCAGACTCAGAGGGACAGGGTAACAGGGCAAGGTGGGCGAGAAGAGGGAGATAATCGATCGCCAGGTTGAAAGAATAGGGTCAACGCCTTGTAAATAAGGATCGATATGCGCTTGTGTTGCTTGGGAGCGGAGGTCCCTCTGACACTTGGCCACGTATCTTCGTTGTCAGGTCTTTTTTTCAAGCGTGTGTATTTCTACTCTTCCCCCACACTCCCGGTATAGTACCCCTTCTCCCTCGCCACCTCCCACCGGTGCCTCCAAATGATAGGTGAGGGTCACCACCTCCACTCGTCTGAAATCCCTCCAAGCCCGAACCAAGCGGTCGAGCAAACAGACCAGTCGGGCCAGCAATGTTGGGTACACATACAAGAATACCACTACCGCCTCAACCCCGTCCTTGCACTCTATTGCCGCTTCTTGAGCCTTGGCCTCCACAGCCTCTACCAGCCGATTTAGGACCGCCTCCTGATCACTCAAAAGGTCCCACCGGAAAAAAGCGACCATCCTATCGCTCAAGCCTTCCTGGGATACAATACTTTTTGCCAGCGCAATACATTGCTGACTTATATCCACGCCTACGCCACGACATTTGCATAACAATGCCGCCGCTATCAAAGGTCGGCCGTCGCCGCACCCTAAGTCCACCATTATATGCCGAGGGCCAAGCCGTAAAATATTGAAAATAGAAGCCAGATCCTCGGCGGCAGTGGGTAAAAAGGGAGAGAGGGTATGTCGCTGTACTTGTATCGCTGCTTCATCAATGCATGAATCCAAATGCGAGTCCTCTAGGGCCTCCGTTTCTTTCACATGACGTGCCACAAGAGCCTCTATTTGCGCTGCGAGTGAACACGGGCGCGTCTCCAAGTCATGCATTTTTCCCCTTGGAAATGATAAAATTGGTCATATTGGAGCTCAGAATATGGCCTGTGTGTGACGCTGATAGAGATATGCGACGCTTTATGGCATTAAAAAAAATGCTCGCGTTAATAATCAAATTTCCGCAACATCAACGTACACGGGAGGTTAACCTCCTCACCACCTTCTCTGTCAAGCTCATGTATTTCCGTCATCTCTGCAGAAGCTGGAGGAGACGTGGGCATGGCAGAGCCAAAAAATTATAAAATGGCGTCCGAGGTCAGGTACTCAGCCGAGGCATTTGCTAAACGAGCGGCTCGAGCATTACGGCGGCAGGGGCAGACAAGCAGCAGGGAGGCGGAGCAGAAAGATTGTGAGCAAGATGAAGAGTCCGACAACATGTGGGAGAACACGTACGCTTTTTCATCATTTAAGCTCAGTGTTCAAGAGGAATTCGGAGGGGAATCATGCGTGGGTGGGACTCAATGGCCGGGTACGTGCCTCGAACGAAACTCAAAGGCGTCCTCAACCAATGTTCACGTTAATTCCCCTGTATAACAGGTGGTGTGCGTGTAGCAAGATATCTCGACAACCCGAAAGCCTTTCCTCCAGGTACTTTAAAGGGCAAAACCCTTCTGGATCTTGGTAGTGGTTGCGGTCTCGTGGCTGCTGTAGCCGCCAAGCACGGTGCCCGCGTTGTAGCTGCGGAGAAAGACATCGTAATCCCCTTATTAAAAGAGAACTTGACGACCAATGGTGTCCTGCTTGACCACGGAGCATCTGAGCATAGCAAGGGAAATACTTCTCATGCCTCCTTGCCTTCGTCTTTGCCTTCCAATAGCCCTCTTGAGGAAGGCAAGGTGGTCGTTCACGAGTTTTATTGGGGTCCCGATGCCCGCCACCCACTCGCGCCTTTCGATTTAATCATAGCCGCGGCATGTTTGTACATGCCAAAGACGGTACCTTTGCTCCTGCATACTTTGTGGAACGTGTCGGACTCCCAGTCGTTGATCTTATTGTGTTCTATTTTGGGAGCCGATACCCTCCAGGCTTTCAAGGAGGAGGTGGGAGGCTTTTTCCACATTCGAGCCTTGGATGAGACGAACGGAAACGTGATTGGGACTAGCAGCGACGACAATTTATCGTCGATCGACGTGGCGACACGAATACTTATACTGGAGCGGAAGAGACAGTCTGGGTGAAGGAGGTCTGGGCGAGAGATAACTTGCAGGGCACTGAAATGATCGAGATGAATGACACTGCCTGGTGCATGATATAAGTGTTTAAGTACAATCGCTTGTATATTATGAGTTCAATGACGAACTGTGCGTCTTCTGTGGAATTCATTTCTGCCTCAGCAACTCGAGACTGTCACTGCTTCATTTAGTCGAGCTAGGTTACAAGTGTGCCTTGCTGATGACGTGTGCCATACAACCATCACCACAAAGCGAAGAAAAATTCAAAAAAACATACACATAGTGTTGTCAATGCTTTCCAGTTGTGATCTGAGCTTTGATGGGAGGCTTTAAGATGGGCCCAACCAGATACTGTGCGGGCATACTTATAAAGCATCAAGTCACATCCTGAGCATTGAAGCGAAATAAGTACATGAGTGAAAACTTTGATGTTTCATCAACATTCGGCAAGAACTCTTGAAAATGATTTTTGAAGGAAGTGTCTATCCTTTCTGGTGTTTTGTCGCTACTGCTGAAGTTTTGTCGGGTTATTTCTTCAGACACGCAACGTAATTACGAGACTCCAACGACGAAAATCCGACAGATTGATATTACATACATCATATGTCACTTGGTCTTCCCAGATAAGTTCTAATGCTTCGAGAATTGTTGTTGTCTTCTTGAAAAATTAGTTGGAGGAGGAGGTACTTGCTTGATGGTACAGTCGCGCTCTCTTTCACCTCTAGGAGTCACTACACTAAACATCCACCGCATAAAAAGGTGTCAAACGCGACATAAAATGAGTTTTTGATCAAGAAACGCAAAAAATCTTTTATCATGGGATTCTGATCCAAGAAATCCTGAGTAAAATGGCTATGCCGGCGAGATATGTCACGTGAAGAGGCTTCCATTGCTTGTGTTGGTGACAAGGGGATATATGCCATGAAACACAAAGATTTGGGTCGATTGCCTAAGAAAGTCATGCAAGTGTCAAGTACGCATCTCATTTAGCTGGACTTCGCATGTTCAAGCGGATCGCGTCGGGAGGATGCAGGTTTCTGCTCCATGTTTTGTACGGAGGATGAGTGGAGGCAGCAGCACTGCGAGAAGAGGGCTGGTTGAAGCATCGCACAGGAGGGCAGAGAGGGCCATGAAATATGGTTCATCAATCCATTCATCCGTCCTATGCTTATTGCTCTTCACACATACATTTATTGACAGTCCAATCTCTGGTCAGGAAGTCTAAATATCTTGTGCATGGTTGCGGGCTCCCTTGAAAAGCCTTTCTGCTCTTCGTGTTCCTGCCCTTACCCGCAGTACTCACCGTATCGGAGGTGGGAGTCAGCGGGGCCTGAAAGAAAGCTGTAAAAACGATCCCACGGAAAACATCGATTCATTAAAGATGGAAAAGGGGGGCCTAGGGGCTGAGGGGGACCTGTCTGAATATCACACCCCACATCTTGCAGCACGCGCCGCGGCAACGAGCAGGAGGCGGATAGGGCGCAGCTGTCGTCGAATTCAGCACGTATCACTGGTGCTTAGCCTCAACATTCTTGTATTTAAGCTGCTAGCTTTCTATTGTATTTGTGAATTGCTGGGTGCCATTCCAGTGATCTCGTCTTCTTGGCTGGGAAGAAGAAGAAACGGGCTCGAGGCCCGAGGAGGCATTAGGATAAGAAGACACTCGCAATCTGACGCCCTCATTCCGGGTGCCAAGCGTCCTTCTCATAGCGCCACCGCTTTCCTTCGCCCGCCCGGCGTTGCCGGACAGCCTGGACCGGAGTCATGGGGGCGGAGAAGCCAGTGCCCGTCTTCGGGCCGACATGTCGCTGGCCGAGGGGAAGGCGCTCGCCTGCCTCCCCGCGGCTTCCCCAGAGACTACGGCCACAGGCTCTCGCCCTTGTCCTCCACGACCGAGCTGCCAGAAGTCGTCCTGGTGCCAGCAGCCGCCCAGACCGGGAGTCCGCCTGGTCGCCCCCACACCCCCGAGAGCCGGGCGAAGATCTCCGCCGCGAACAAGGGGAAGCGGCCATGGAACAAGGGGGTGGGGCACTCGGACGAGACGAAGGCGAGGATACGGGAGCGGACCAAGCAGGCGATGGAGGCGAGGAAGCGGGCGAAGCTAGCTGCCATGGGTCTGACCTTGGAGGAGTTCGAGGCCCGGAAAGCCGCCGAGGCGGCCGCGGAGAAAGCTCGACGGCAGGAGGTGAAACGGAACGTGACCCAGTCATCCGACTACAAAGCGCGGCTCTCCCAGCGCATGCGAGAGCGCTGGCAGGACCCCGCCTACCGGGAGAAGGCGCTCAAGCACTTGAGCCTGAGTCGGGCCTTGCAGACGAACGAGACGCGCGCCAAGATCTCGGCCAGCATGAAGAAAGTGTGGGAGGAGGATCGGTTGCCCCGCAATCGCACCGTCGGGGAAGAAACCCGGAAGAAGATTTCGGCGAAGCTCAAGGAGGTGTACGCCGACCCTGTCTACCGGAGCCGGCTGAGCGGGACGCGTCGGCGCAACCCGGAGCACAACTTGAAGATTGCGGAAGCGATCCGGAAGAAGTGGGCGGAGGAAGGGTACAAGCAGAAGACCCTGCAGGGCATCCAGGACTACCAGGCGCAGTACCAAGAGTCCCTCCTGGAGACGCCCGAGAAGGCCCCTGGGAAGCGGCGGAACACGACGGCGGCCACGGCGGCGAGTGTCCGCGTGAGGGCGGCGCGGGCGGCGGCGGGGGGCCGGCCGGGCCCAAAGAGGCTCTCGGCGGCCAAGCGGAAGGCGATCGCGAGGGAGGAACTGCAGGAGCTCGAGCGGATGGACCGGGAGATGCGGGGAGAGATCAAGCCGCGCAAGTCCAAGGGGGTGCTGAAAGGAATGGCTTTTGGGCCCAGCTTC